TAATCTACGTTAAGCGTTTCACGGAGTTGTTTCGTTCACGTTGCTCGATTTGCGCTTAGCGGATACGATAACGAATGTCTTTAACGCTGGAACCACCGTACCAATCGGAAACGACTGATTTTTACCGTCTCAATTTCCAATTGACAACATCATAACAGTGTTAGACATTAGCAGTTACTTTAAAAAAAATGTAGTTTTATTTACATAGATCAAGAATATCAGTAGAAACGAGAAGAACATCTACTTCCATAACTTTTATAAGGATCACGTATTAATCGCGATTAAACATTCGCGGCGGTTCCAGCGTTAAACAATGTTTTCAGTGTTAACAAACGATTAGTCATCTATGCGAACAGTATCGTGATTGTATATATCTACGGAGGGAAGGGAAAGAACAAAAACGTTTCTCTCTCACGCGGAACGTCAGGTCCACGATTTCCCTCGTGGTTTATCTTAAAAAGACTCTCGGCGAATCGTTATTTCACTAAAAAAAAAGAAAAAAAACAAACAAACACACATACACGCAGAAAAATAAAAAGAAAAGAAACCTCGAACAACTTCGCGCAGCGTCGTTTTCGTTAATTGTATTTTTCGAATGGATATCCGGATAGTCACAGACACAGGATGCGCTTTAAAACTCGTGGGAACGGACAGCGGGTGTGAGTTGAACGTTCAACGAAAGCTATAGTGCTTCGTGAATATGCCTGTTAAAACTTAACCTGCCATAAACGATATAACGTGAGTTCAATAAATACAGTTCCGCATAAACGCTCTACCGTTCTCTTATTCACCGGAACGATCCTAACAGGAATTATATACAACGCGACGACGGTTAACCAGTTAACTGTGGAATTTTATTGGAAAAACCTCTCGTTCCGCGCGCAATAAAATCAAAAAATGAATGAAATGTATATTTTAATGAAAGATCAAAGCGAAACAAAGAAGAATTACATGTTTACGTGAAAAAATCAAGAATACGTTGCTGAAAGAATCAGTATCGTGTCAAGCGTTATGACGTGTATACTTGTCAAACACAGTCAACTGGTTAATTAGGCTTCGCTCGTTCACGCGGGTACGGGGATCCAATGAAAACATTCCCGACAACCGTTCAGTTGACGCGGAATTCTTTGCGTTTCTTTATAAGCAATACAAAGAGTCCTCAACTGTTCACGGACTAAAGCAGAAGTGAAAGCGAAGACAGAAGTGTCCTTTATACACGTTACAGTGGTTTCAAGACAGATGTTATTTATTGCAAAGGAAAACATTCTTTTGTTAGAGGAACGTCGGAATTTTGCATCGACCCAATATTAATCGGACGTTCGTTTCGTCGAGAATTTAACTCCTTGCCTTATAATACTCTTATAATATTGCTTTACAATATAATTACAATGTAATATAATATAGTATTCTTTTCTTTTCACGTCGAAATAGAATGTCAGCTTTCTCTTGCGAACACTTAATACTTATAGTAGACATAGGTATACGGTGAACGTGCAATATCTTTTCTGTCTAGTTAATCGTTAAGGATTATTCGGCTTTAATTGCGAAAGACATCGTAAGGCAAGGGATTAGATTAGATTCCGCGGAGACCTTCTGTAACTTTATACTAGATAGAACTTTATACACGTGTAAAACGTTGAGGATGTTGAATTAACCCTTTGCACTCCGTAGGCGTCTCTCAGTCACCGATTGATTTGACACTGCAAAATTATAGAGTTTGATATTCAATATTAAACTTTGTACAATGCATCGACATGTGAAATTTTAAAATAAAACGGCCTATCTCTTTAATTTATGTGTGATTTCTCGTTAAGTCAGTTTGAAAGAATGTCGTTGGTATTTCATTAAAAAATGTTGAGTGTTTCCAATGAAAAATTTCTGGAGTGCAAAGGGTTAACACGGCGTTGAAAGGTAACGAGACCCCAATGGCTAGCACAAGCTATTCGCGCGTTCGCATAAATAAATAAAAGAAATTCCTACCCGTAGGTCCTTAGAAACGATAATATTGCACGTGAAGTCGCAAGGTATTGCACTCTTAGGGATCTTCGTTGTTCGCTTTAACGCGCAATGGGATAAATAACACATTGAAGGTCAATCGAGGCGGATAGACAACGTCCCGTCGCGAACGACTCGCGGGGAACGCGACAGGGCGAGTAACAAAAGTTCTAGCGAACGCGAATTCGATTGACCATAATGAAGTCATTGGAAGACCACGGTTGCTGACCAAGATACAGCGAACTTATTTCTCACTGTAGAAAAATTTGGAAGATGCCCTATATAAATTTCACAAATTATATATAAAAATCTCTCGAATCGAGTTCACCGTAACTTGTCCAGGAACAGTACACTCGACAACTTTGGTGGTCTCCGTCTGGTGACCTCGAGTGGCAAACTGAATTCGCGTTCGTAGTACGGTAAGTCACGGATAATTGTCTTCCTCCTTGGAAATGTTTACAAACACCAGAAGAATGCGAAGTGAACATTCGAACCACCTTGGTTCCAATTAGTTTGGATAATCAGAGAATAAAGTACAACCCCGTTTATCCGAAGTAGCTGAACACAGGCGTCGATCGAACAGTAGAAAGAACAAGTGCAAAACGATGCGTTATTAATCTGGATAATCGAGAGTTCAGGTAAGTAGCTAAGGTAATAATCGAGAGCTGAAATAACCAGGATCCAAATATATTCGAGAGTTCAGACAATTATCCGAGCGTTACCGTACCGAGGAAACCGGACGACATTCGCGTCGAATCGTTCCAGCGACCCAGGCGTGCGTTACGTTCTTCTGAGCTTGAGCATGTGCAGGTTCGGATGCCATGGCACTTTCCTAAAGGTCGACGTGTTCGTGTCGTCGGGAGGCGTCGCCTCCTCGTTGTCCTCGGCCGCGGACGCGTCGATTAACGGGGCGTCCCGGCCGAGCGCGCCGACGCCCGTGTCGAAGCTGAACAGTCGACGGTGTCGTTTCACTTCTTGGTTGACGGCGTCCCAGTTCCCGGTGGTGCCCGGATCGCTGACCACGCGACGGTGCTCCCTGTGGTGGTGCCGATGATGATGGTGGTGGTGGTGGTAATGATGATGATGGTGGTGGCGCAGCTTCCTTCGCGACGACGACAGCGCGTGCTGCAGGCTGCCGGTTTGCAGCGAGGTGGTCGCCACGTGGATCAGGGGATTCGGGTCGAAGTAGAGGAGATTGTCCACGAACGGGACGAGCTGCATCGAGTCGACGGTCGTCGGCCCTGGACGGAACGTCTTCGGGACTCTCTGGGCGGTCGGGGACCATTCGTCGTCCTGCACGTTGATCGTCACCTTCCTGCGACGGTGAGAGCGGCGCGATCTCGGCTGCAGTCTGCCGGGAAGATTTCGGTTGTCATGCTTTGAATATTAAGAGTATATTGGTATTGTAGGATGAATGGTTTGTCGTGCGTGCGCAAGGGACGTACCTAGAGGAACAAGAGTGCGACGTTCTGTGCCGTCAGTTGAGCGGGTGATCCCCCCGCGGCATTCTATAGCACTTGTTCCAGGCCTCGAGCAGCAGCACGCAGCTGTGAAACCGGTAGAAGATCAGCAGAGGCAGGCCGATCCTGGAGAGGACGCCCCACGCGAGCACCCCGAAGAATCTCAGCTGCAACTCCTGCGAGATCCAGTTCTGCGTGATCACCGTGTCGAACGCCCACAGCACGGAATTGCTGAACAGCAGGAACGTGATCACCTGGCGGGCCGGCTTCCCGAGGATCTGGAAGCGCGTGATGCACGACCTCTTCGACGCTTCCGCGATCAGGGTGCTCTGCGCAAAGCACTGGACCATCTGCAGCGCGGAGGCTATCAGCAGCATCACGTGTCTCCCGCGGGTCTCCTCCGACTCGCTGTCCAGGATCGCCAGGGAGCACGACGTCACCACGATCGTGAACACCGAGTACAACTGGACACCGAACAGAGCCACGTTCGACAGCAAGCTGTCCAACGGAGCCGGCGCTCGGGTCACGACGGACATCTGCCGGACCTGGACCAGTCCGCTGCCCGTCATCAGAGTGCTCAGCGTCAGGATGCTGATCAAGGTCCCGCAAGTCAACCAGGACAACGTGCTGGACGGGAAGTGCTCGTCCTCCCTGACCACCAGGAATATCAGGATCACCACTATCCCGGCCACCATGCACAGGATCCCCAGGAACAGACCCTTGCTGCTTCCGTCGCAGCCTACTTTCGTGTGGCTGGTCAGGTCCTTGCTGCTGTGGAACTTCTGCTTGTGGGACAAACGGCTCCGACCCACGTTCTGGCCCATCACGAACGTTACTGCAGCTGCGATCAGGCTGAAGGCAGGAAGAATCGTTTGAATTTGAACAGTTGAATGTACATAGCGTTCGAAAGCTACTGGCTAGATCGCTTTTGGAACCAAGTCCATGGCATCGATGTGCCGCTGTGATTATTATTAAATTATTATAAGCATTGGAAATGCCCAGAGTTCAATGGAGGAAAAGCTGTTAAACTGAGAAAACAATTTTAAAATTTCGAAACACTGTCATTGATCGCTCGACGTTTACTTCGGGAGCCATTGAAGAAGTTTCATTCAACGTCCGACGCACCTGAACTGCACGATGAACGGATAAAGGAACGGCATGCTGGACGTCCACAGCTGGCCCAGAGTGTTCGTGTTCAGGCACTCCTGCAGAGCGATCACCTGGGAGATCTGCTCGTTCGAGATCGGCTGGTAGGGGTGAAAGGTGTCTTTCTCCGACGAAGGGGAATGATCTGAAAAGGAAGACGACACGTTGCCAATATTCTCGGACGATATCGGATGCGAAACGATCAGCTGCTCGAGACCACTTTCACGAGGACGAAGTTCGGGTGAACGAACTCGCAGATGCAAACACGAAGTTCAAGCTCTTTCACTCTTACTCCTCGGTGATACTCGGTCAGTAAACATCGATTCGGTAACTTTCTTCGAGTAGTCGAGTGCGAACCTATCAAGTCTCTGGGGTGTCTTATCAGAGACTCCGGGAAGCCGCGAAGATTCAGCGGGGACGCCGGGTTCTGCAGTCCTCGTTGCGCAAGGTGGACGAAGTAGGTCCACTCTTGGGCCGAGTCCCAGATCACCAGTCGCGTCCACACCGCGATATTGGTGGCTGCCAGGTGGATGAAGCCGAATCTCGCTGCTAAGCCGAATCTCTCCACTAGAACCTGCGAGCAAGGATTTCGAGACGTTACAGGGGGACGGAGTATTGAACTTTGGATTATAAATGAGTCTTTAAAGAGAACTGTTAGGAAATACACGGAGAGAAGCATTGTCGACGAAGCTTTTTTCCATTTCTAGATGCACTATGTGAGAGTTTCATTCGAACAGATTTTTGTCTCTCTTTGTAAGACTACTCTTAATATTCCAAAAACGAAGACATTATTGTACAAGGGGTTAAAATTGCCAACTGTTTCGTCTGATCATCGCGAACGCTGATCCGAGGATCACGGTACACAGTGCTTCTCACCTGCGAGTTGACGAAGAGGAAGTGCATCTGCAGGAACGTGAACAGCCCGTGGACAACCGGATGCACGAAGACGACGTCGCTGAGACACTCCGCGCCCTGCATCATCGAGTGCATCGCCATCTCCAGTCCGTTGAACACCAGGGTCGCCAGCCCGAACACTGTCCGATCATTGATCATTCGGTTTTCCGTTACCGTTCGCTTTTTCTCGGTGCACTGAATGGGAATCGAATAAGGAACTCACGCAGTGCTCCGACCCTAATGTAGAAACTCGTCGGCGCTGTCCTGGATCGCGAGATGTGCGCTCGTTTCAATGATCCGAACCTGGTCAGAGACGCGCCACCGAGTTCCGCGTCGTCCACGCCGCTGCCTCCGCTGCCAAGGCTGCCGCAACTGTCCACCAACACCCATATATAGATGCTGATGATCACCGCGATGCTCCCCACGTAGAGGTACATCATGAACACACCCTGCAAACACCGATAGCGATCGTTGAACGTCGACAGATCCTCCCGGGTGATCAATCGTAGCCTTTATCGGATTCAAAGTGGATCTAGGCAACGAGGAATCGATGGAACACTGTTTGACCTTGATATATTCTTCGACTCTGCTTCGAAGTAATTGCTTTCACTTCTTTTAGCGTTACGCTTATTTAATCCTCTGTTTGGTTTTAGAGGTAAAGGACAGGTAAATGGGATCATTTCACTTGTGAAATAAAGATTTTAAGATGTAGTTTAACTGTTCAATTAGGTATCAGTAATTTCAGTATTAGTAGAGATTAGGCGTCGACAATTTGATTATTAGATTGAATACTAATACACATTAGGTGTCAATAATTTAACTATTAAACAAAGTTACATCCAATTAGACATTAGATCTTAATAACCCAGATACTCAAATGATTACTCAAATGGGACCATACAATATTTGATCCATTAAGTTTGATTCATGAAGAACGTTACCGAATTATAGGAAGCATAGAAATCTGAGACAGTTCCGAGTTGGATTCAAGATGGACGACCCTGTCAGCGGATAATGTACAGTTTAGCTCAGACCTTCCGTGATCTTGCAGCAGGCGGAACGTTCAGGAAATACCTGACAAGTTCATCCCGCTGGAAGGTACACTTGATGATCCGGCCGGGCTATGAATCGTGATTTCAATTCGCGGACTGTTACTGTTACCGTAACAGTTGGCGTCCCGGCTCGGACTAATCCATAATTTACGCGAAACGTAGTCACGGCGGGATCGAGAGTAATTGCGAGTGCCGTTTGGATAGAAAACGACCAGCCTGCTCGTCGGCGTTCGTTGCCATTGAATCCGATCGCAACGGTCTCAATCAGCTATGTACTGAGTCATTGCGTTTCATTTCCTACTACCGTCTTTACTCAGTCGTTGAAGCGCAAATTTCGCTGTAAATTATATTCGATAATTGAACTGAATTAATCACGAGTCACGATAAAATTTCATTGACGCTAGTACTTTAATGTAGCTATTAATTTTAGGTTCGTAAAATTCGACGCTGCAGACTTCGATTTCACTTGAAGAGTTCGTGTTTGAAATTTCAATTTCATTTTTATAAGATTCATTTCGTTATCCAATTCACTTTCGCAGTTATCCGATTTCAGAAAGTTATAGCCGATCGATCAATGATAGTTGCAGTAATGCGTAATATTCTCGAGATAGAGATATTAAACATTTCAATATGACGTAGATATAAAAATATAAAGTACTTTAGTATGATAGATATAAGTACTCGACACTTCAATGCCGTAGACACAGAGACGTGACCCACTTTGATAGAATAAACAAGGAAACATTACGAAGATCAGCACACAATAGCAAAGATCCCAATACAAATAGGTTCCACGCTCCCCGAGAAGGCTCATTTGTTCAACGAAACCCATCGTCGGGTCACATGGATCAACTGCAAAGCGCACCTCCGGAGCGTGTTCGCACGGCAGAATGCCGAAGCCAGTCGGTTCGCAATTATGGTTCAGCTACCGTACCGTTATCCGGCGCCAGAAAAATGCCCCGCGTCGTAAAGTCTGCCGAAAAGAAAAACACGCGACGGCCGCGTCGGCAGACGGTGTGTAATATAGTTGTTCGCCGAACGCCAATATCGCGCACGAAACGAAAATCGCGCGTTAAGAGCCTCGGCCGCGAAACGAGTCGCTCGATTACGGAATGAAATAGCGCGGTGCTTAGGCGCACCGTTCGTTCGTTCGTTCGTTCGTTCGTTCGCTTCGCATGTCGTGATTTTACGGCGAGCCGCGTATAATATTCCACGGTTTACGACCCGAAACACCTTCCGACGGGTTCTTCCCGTTCGACGGACGGTTAGATTTCGCGCGATTAGCGTTAGACGCTTGTATTTACTGGCCGACGAAGAATTTCGCGTTTTCCACGGCGAACCTTGGAACCCTAACACGCGTGAAAAGAGAATGAACAGTAAACGCGAGGGAAAAAATCGACGGCGTTCGGTTAACCGTCGTTTCTCTGTAATAAAATTGAGAATGTTATTCCACCGCGACCACCGCGCGGTGATTTCAACGCACGCACCGCGCGTCGCGGAGTGATTAAACGCTAATTACGTTTGGCCATTTGCTATCGGGTTTCTTTGTGACCCCTAGTCGCGACCCGGTGAAGGTCACGCTCGCACAACCGAGATAATGAGAAATTTTCTGGGACATTGGCCGATGGTTCGACGATTTTCATGGAACTTTTGGACGCACAGTTGTTTGTAAGTGAATTCTGTACTGCTGGAGATTACTGGTATTCTATGGGAATCTTAAAAGTTGTTTGGTAATGGTAGTGTTCTTTAATTGTTAGTGTGCTTACTTGCAAACTGAGCAGCGGCACCGGCGTGTCCATCACTTCCGCCAGGCAAAGTGCGATCATTAGGACTACGACCAGCTGGCCGTAGACGTTCGAGAGGACGACCCATAATTGGGAACTGGGAACATGCAATGCTAATTGTCAGAAATTTCAGTACGTTGCGAATCTGAATTTGAAACGTTGCAAACTTTAACTTGAAATATCACAAGTTACAACTTGAAACGTTAAAAATTCTCGACTTAAGATATTTCCAGCGGCCTACAAGGGTTCCGAATGATCCAGCAAATCGCTCTGCGAGCGTGCCTTGGACAAGAGCTTGCTGACGAAGGATCTAGACGGCTCGGAGGATCTCGTCGTCCCCGCAGCCGCGGTTTCCGACTCCGTGTTCCTCTCACCCCGGCCAGGGGTGCCGCCGGGTGCACCCTCCACGGTGCCACCCGTGGTGCTTCCGGTCTCGTTCAGGCTGTCCTTGTCCTGCTGCTCATTGCCGGCTGCAACAGAAATTTTCGACGGCTCGGTCAGACGGGTCTGGAACTGGCCCGCTAATTGGGCCCGCTCTCCGCGCGGTTCTGGGTCAGTGGAGAGAGAGCAACGTCGTAACTTTCGCTGGAGGAATCCCACGCGGAGGATCCAGACTTTTGATAGTCCCGGGCCGGCGGCTTAGTAGGACCCAATCCGACCGAGATTGGAAAGGAGAGGATGAACTTCTTCGACGACGAAGATAAAGTCGAAGCGTACAGTGCTTCGTGAGAATTCAATTCTCAACTTGCGCCATTTCCTTAACCCTTTGCACTCGGAAGGTGACTCTCAGTTACTACTTGATTTCCTACAGTGAAGCTAAGTTTGATATTTAATATTATACTTCATATAATGCATCAGTCTGAGAAATATTCACGTACAATAGCTTTGTCCGTCAATTCGCGTGAATTTCTCGTCGAGTTGGTTTTACAAAATATCGTCTTCGTCTCATCAGAAAATGTTGAAATATTTCAAGTGAAAAGAATTATCATGCACGAATTATCAAAAAAGAATTATCATGCACGTCGAAATGAGATGCTGGTTGTATTTAAATGAAACATGAAATTCCACTTTTGCGAGTGAACTTCGTTGTTCATGGATGTTTCTGTTTGCAATGTTTTATATTACATCTCTCGAAACTGAAACGAATGCAGCATGCGAACGTACTTAAGTGGCATCCAGAGTGCAAAGGGGTAACAATGAAACGATCTAAGAAGTGAACGTGTCGCCCTCGCGGAGCGTGAAGTTATTCGATGGCGAAGATAATAGCGATCGGCCCGGTGTATCTTTAATAAAAACGTTAGAAACACCATTAAAGATGATGCAGTCGTATGTAATGGGGATTCAGGCCTCAAGCGAGGTTGAATTTAAACATGAAAAGATAGCGGTCGCTGGTAAGTTGCGATTAAGGCGATCACGGGACTATGAAATGACAGCGGAGACGTATAATCTTTTCGAAAGTGCTACCCGTTGGTTTTCATAATTAATCGCGTTCGATGTTAACGATACCACGATGTCTTTCTTCGCAATCGATAATCGGCGCAACAGATGGGAACACGGGATCCCGAGATGCGTTAAATCGCGGGCAATTAACGGGCGCGCGCCGGCGTGTAATTAATCCCAGAGAAAATTTCTTGATAAAACCGCATCCGACGTTTCTGAGTGGCGCCGAACGCCTCGCCGGATCGAAGGTGGTCAATTAAATTATCACCTCGAAGGGAACAACGTTCGTTTAACCTTTATCTCGATCCGATGCCCATCCAGGCACCGCGGGAATATTAAACATCGAATGGAAAATTGATGGTAACTCGTAGATTGCGAGATCTTCGAGCAGAGATAATATTCGTTAATCGAGTTTCCTATTTTGAATTTTAAAAATAAATAAAATTATATAAAGTTTGATCGAACGAAAAATGATTGATTTGATTTGTAACGCATTAATCAATCGATCTGCCATATTTTTAACTGCTTTATCCTCTTTACCTCCTTCTCTCGCTCTCCTTGTAGTCGATGTATCAACGTCTCTATCAAATACGACCAAAAAACAACTTCCCCGAAAAGACTCAGGAAAAACGAAGAATCATCATCATCCGCTCGAATTCGACCAACTTTCTCAAACGATAATTCCGTTAAGCCCCCAAGGGACTCCTTCGTGGCGTACCGGAAGTGTTCGTCGCCTGACAGAAAATCAATAGGCTTATCGATAGACCGGCGCTCGGGAATTGTGCAACGTTCTCAGATGATCGGTGGGGTCAGAGGCGAGAGGTCAACCGTTCGTCGATTATTACACGACGATTACGTTGTGGTTTGAGATGCATTGTCAGCCCAACCATATGCTTGATAGACGCGACGCGATGATGAAGGGCCTGGACCGACCGTACACGCGCCAAGATGGCGACCCGCTGGGTCAAAGATGGCCGGCCGGACCGCCTCATTGTGCGGACGCGCGGTTGAAAAATGCGTATGCGCGCGATATCACGGACAGCTGACGCTGAGTTACGAGAAAATGATACACTCCGGCTGCCTTGGGCCGCGGGGAAATGATACAGTCCATGAAGCCTCTAAGCAGCTGCCTTTGAAATACGGTGGGATACCGCGAAAGAAAGATCGTTCGATCAAGATGCGCGGAACCGTGCAAATGAGATGCGCGAGTCGGTTTGCGATATACGCCCGGGAATTATTGCATTGTAGCTACTACTGTGTATTTAGGTGTGAGCCGTGTCTAATAAGACGGGCGAAATGGAAAAGAAGTTAGTCGAGGAACAATTAACTCGCTCGCTTCGCGATTTCTTTCGCGTTCCCTATTTATAATAGGGAATATTATGTTGTATTGTACGTTGTATAAAAGTAAAAATGAATAATAAAGTATTCAGTGAAGCATAGTCTTCTTTTATAAAGCTTCATTTTCGAAAAGGTCAAATTTCAAAACCTGTCCTTTCTTTAATTCCAATATCAAGGCTTCAATTTATCGAGGAGATGGCGTGTCCTCACGCGATAATCGAGTTTGCCCGGTGAAATGTGAAATTTTCGAGCGGGCCAGGCAGGAAACTGGGTCGTGGAATCCGTGAATTTGCTCGTGGATTACCATTGAACGTGGTTCGTCGTGACGAGTCGAAAAAATGTAGAAACTCCGTGTGCCAGCTGGCGGATAGACCCGAGAAATCCATGTTCAATGGCAAACCGACATTGTTGACGATAAAAACGACAGATATCTTGACATGTCGCTGATGAGCGTGTAGTTAGAGATTAGAGACACGACAGGAAACATGTCGGATGGTTGTCTTAGCGTGTTAACGGTCGTAACGAACCTTTCTCGATGCAAATATTCTTAATGACGAAGATAAACGGCCCGATCACGTTTACGGCGTTTTATTAGATACGGCGTTGACGGCATTAGTGCTTTGTTGAGTGATCGAAGAAAGCGAGAGAACGAGGAAAGCCGATTTATTTAATGCTTTCTTTATCCTGAAGGTTTAACGCTAGAATTATCGAACCTGATTCTATAAGAATTGTCAAAAATTCAAGTATTTAAATTTCATAAATCCAATAATTTGTTGAATAATTATTGTCTCGATTAAGAAGCCTACCGTGCCAAATTTGTTAATCTTATGATCATATTACAAAGACGTGAATATTGTAAACAAAGCAACGTGTTCGAAGACGGCGAGAGGTCGACGAACGAAGTGTTAAGCAATCGGTGGAATAAACTTTGATCGAATGAAGTGAAACTTGTTTTCCAATTGCCTTAAAGAATGCGAATGTTAACCGCGGCGGCGTTCACAAGAAATTGTAACGAAGAAAGACAAAGTGAAGTATCAAACAAACCGAAACTCGCACCTGGCATGTATATACACAATGAAATATTAATGTCCGGTAATAATGGGAATAAATTCATAATTTACAACGGTGGTGATTTCACAGCGAACACAAACGGTTTTTATGGCCACCTTCACTGCCGTTCCAAGCGGCCATAAAATCTAACACGTGGTCGGGACGTTTCTAACATGGAACCGCCGCAGTAGAAACCGCATAAGCTCATGAGCCCTAGACCAATCTCTTTCAACCGTGCGCGGTGTCAATGATCTATCTCCTTAATAACAAAACAATCCAGTCCCGAACAATCTAATTATGCTGAATTTCTCCTGTCATCAGCAGATCCTATCTCCAAACAACAATATTCTCTACCAATTATTCATCCGTACTCCCCAGCCATACAATATTTATGATTATGTTTGATTAATAAAAATGAACAACTTGTAGAAAGTTGTATAATGTATCAAATTGCCAAGATTCCTCTGTGATCGTTGCGCAACTCAAAAACCTAAGAGAAAACCTCTCGATTGGCTAGCAACGTAGCACACAGCCTAATTGCTTCGAGTGCAACTAAATTTATAATTGCTTAATTTATAGTTCAGTTGGCAATTATTACTAATTTAGCGATTGTATCGCTCAGCCGATAGCATCGAAGTATCTAAAAATAGAAATTTCGATCCGTATTTTCGAGAGCAATATCGTCGGCGTCGGAATTCCACGAGCACAGTTAGAACTGATCATCTTACTCACGGTTCGCGTATAGCTGTTAACGTTACCTCTAGCTTTTTGTCAGAGGAACACGATCGTAGTCACGGGCACACTCGAGTCACTGTCCATGGCGAATCGTCTGTAGGTGAAGGACAACGGTCTGTCACGGTTTCGCACGGAAGAGAGCAGTCAGAGAGAGAGAGGAAAGGAGCAACTGCTCCACAGAGTATCGGAACACCGAATGGCAAGGTAACCCAGAAGTGTGGGGCCAGAAGAAGATCAACCGGTCTGGGACAACAGACGGTGGTGGTAACCACCGGTCGTGATGACCATATGATGATGATGATGATGATTATAATGATGATGATGATGGTGATGATGATGGTGATGACGATGATGATGATGATGATGACGGCGATGATGATTACGTCGTTTCACGTAGCCCCGTTTTTTTCTATCATCTCGAGCAATGTCGCGCTAGGAACACGGACAATCTTCTGCATTACATAGAATTGGAAAACGACCTAAATGACCCTGAAAAACATCTTGGTGAAATTCTGATTGGACAACAAAAGAAAGCGTCCGCTCTCTTCTTCGATCAGAGGTTTCTATCTGTTCGAATTTGCAGAATTTCGTTTAATAACTTTATTTCGTCTAGTCTATAATTTGACGTGTCTCACCGATCGCTCGAGGAGCTAATCTCTGTTTATAAATAAAGTCAGGCATTCCCCAAGTTTCGAAGTAGTTTCTATGAGTTCGTCGTGTCATCGTAGACAGGACAGATCTCGGGATAAAATGAAAAGGAATTACTTCGTTTTGAAGATAATTTGTGAACGATTGAAGGGAAAGCTAGCGAATTACTGTCTACATATCATTCTATTATTCTGCCATTTTTCTTCCCCGGAGGTTACAGTTGTCTAGAATCGTCAAAAGGTCTCGGACTCTCGAAGCA